AATTTATTGTTTTGAATATAGCTGTGAGATGATGGTACTCTGGACTTGCCTAGATATATGTCTCATAATGATATATTGTTTTGAATACTGTTTTACGATAACATACTTGACACAATAGATATACTTGGAACATGCTAGTAAAATATGACTAATTTTGCGTCGCATACAGTCGTTGTATAGTAGTGAATTGTGATGGACTCTGTATTTGATATACTAAGATACATTTGTAACAATATAATAGTATGCTATGATTAACCGGCAATACTATATACCGGAAAACACTGGAGAACACCGGAAAACAACCGGAAAACACCATTTTATACTGAATACCGGAAAAGACCGGAAAAACACTAAATACAGGAAAGCACGCTAAATACCGGAAAATACTCCAAATAGGCAACCCGGAGACTAGCACCCTAAATAGGTAACCGGGAGCCTGGTCCTCTGTGTGCCTGGGTTAGGTTTCAGAATTTAGGGGAGAGGTTAAGTCTCCACATAAGCACTGACCTAGGATGATGAAAAATTAGTTCGTGATATTTCCTAGTATTATTAAAAATACATACAATACATTAGATTTATATACAAAGGTGATTTCACTGTTTATTGGTGTTGGTGGCGCTGATGGTCTTCCTTGGGTGGTGCTTCTGGTATTCTGGTATTATTGTTTCTGAAGAAAAAAGAAAATAAATTTGAGGCTCTCGGGAGAGAGCCATATTAGTGTGTTTCCTACTACGGATTGGATTTTCTAAAAAAAATCGTGTTTGTTCCACATCACCGGGTTAGGTTTAAGAATTTGGGGGGGGGGGAGGTTAAGTCTCCACATAAGCACTGACCTAGGATGATGAAAAATTAGTTCGTGATATTTCCTAGTTTTATTAAAATACATACAATACATTAGATTTATATACAAAGGCGATTTCACTGTTTATTAGTGTTGGTGGCGCTGATGATCTTCCTTGGGTGGTGCTTCTGGTATTCTGGTATTATTGTTTCTGAAGAAAAAAGAAAATAAATTTGAGGCTCTCGGGAGAGAGCCACATTAGTGTGTTTCCTACAACGGATTGGATTTTCTAAAAAAAATCGTGTTTGTTCCACATCACCGGGTTACGGCTAGGGATTCTTATATCTAATTGATTTTAATTACTAACGGTTAGGGATAGGATTTGATATATGGTTTTTTTTGGGTCAGGGTGGAGACTGGTCTTATTTAATCTAATTTACTGTGCACTAGGATGTCGTTCAGATTTTTATTTTTAGAATATACAATTATAAGTTTCTGTGTGAATATTTTCGGGTGATTTTTTTGGAGATCAGTATAGTGTTTTCTGATGATTTTGGATGCACTTGCTGCTGTTGCGCTAAATGGAACTACAAAAGGAGCTATTGCGCTAGCCGTATGAATATTCAAACCTAGGGGGGCTGTTGTTTTCAATTTGTCAATCCAGAATTTCTTCTGAAGTTTCAAAGTCGCTCTTGGTCTTTTCTATTGGCGTGTTAATGAGATCAGAAATGTCATGATTTGGTTGGTTGAATTGAGACAGGTTTGTCTTTTTTGGTGACTATGTCTGACCGGTGACCGTTCATTCTTTCCCTAAGTGCATTTTGAGTCTCCCCTACGAATTGCTTGTCACATTTTCTGCATGAAATTAGATAAATTATGTTTGAACTACTGCATGAAAGTTGGTCTAATATTGGGAATTTTGTGCCAGATGTTTTGTTATGGAAATGGTCGGATATGTTAAAGATTTTGCATGTTTGACATCTTGGATGGCCACTAATTTTGGTTTTAACTGCTGATTGTATATTATTTGTTTCTTTGGCGGCAGCTCGGCTAGAGTGTTGTTTTTTATACGTCGTAGATAGCGTTTGGAGTATCCCCTTTCCCTTAGTTTGCTAAATACCAATGTACATGCTGACTCAAAGTCGGTCTTCTGAGTACATATCCTATGAAAACGGAGAATCTGAGATTTTATGATGCCAGAGAATGTATCTTTTGGGTGAAACGAGCTTTTGAACTATAATTGATGTGTGTCGGTTTCTTTGAAAAATACTTTAGTTTCCAATTGGCCTGTGATTTTGGTATTGCTACTTTTAAAAACGGTAGTATCAAGGAAATCTATGCTGTTATGACTTACATTTGCGGTTAATTTGACAGATGGATGATGATTGTTCAGAATGTAGAAAAACGTCCAAAATTCGTCTAGTGTGTACGTCCAGACTATGAAAACGTCATCTAGAAAGCGCCCATGGAAATCCGATTTTAATGGGCAGAGCGGCAGAACTTCCCTTTCCCACTCCGCCATGAAGAGGTTTGCATAACTCGGGGCAAATAGTTTTCCCATCGCAGTTCCGGAAGACTGGAGGTATACTTCGTCGTTGAAAGCGAAGTCATTCCTCCTCAGACAAATGTCGAGTAGTTTGAGGATTTCTTCGTCCGGCATGGATGCTTGCGGGTTCCTAAGACATGCTTTCATAACTGCTTCAATGCCTGTGTTATTATCCATGTTCGTGTACATGCTCTGTACGTCGATGGATATTAAAATGGTGTGTTCGGGGACTCTTAACTGTTTGATTTTGTGAATGAAATCGTTAGTGTCTTTAAGGTAGGATGGGTGTTGGCATGCTAGGGGTAATAAGAAATGGTCTATATATTGTGATACGTTGTATGATTCGCTGCCACAGTCTGATATTATTGGGCGTCACTTGGGTAATTTATTAGGTATAAATCATTCTGTTTCTGGATTTTTATGTATTTTTGGTAGTGTATAGAGATGTCTTTGTCGGCAATCAGATTTAGCAGACAGATAATCATATTGTTTTGCTGTTATGTATTCCTTGTCTTGCAATTAATGTAAGATGTTGTTTATTAAAGTTGCGGTGTCCTTTAAGATGGGTTGGTCTAATTTAGTGTAATGTATAGGATTACTTATTTGTTTTTCTGCCTCTGAGATATAGTCTGCGCGATTCATGTCGTTTTTCTTAATTATTATGTTTTTGTCTTTTTTGAGGGCGTTTAATGCTGTTTTAGTTGTTCGGTTGAGATTTGGTTTTTGTGATTGTGTTTAAAGGGATGATATTTCTGTGTTCATTTCGTCGAAAGTTTTTAGGATGGCTGGTGATAATGACTTTTTAGGTGGTTTCCATGTGGATTTTTCTGTGAATAATTTTTTACCTCTGCCGGGTTTGTTCCTGAAAAAAAATACGTCAACGAAAGTGTTCTTTGGAAGCGATCGGTTGCCTGGGTGATGGGGTCTATGGATGTTATTGTGGGGTTTGGGATGAATTTAAGGCCTTTATCAAGAATGTTCATTTCTAGGGGGCTGAGAAGTCTGTCGCTCAAATTGACAACTGTCTGTCCTAAAAACGGCTTCTCATTCCTTTTCCCTAATCCTAGTTTAAATTCCTCATCCAGCAGTTGATGATCTCTCTGGTCGTGTCTGAGCTCCAATGGATTGCGTTGTTACCTTTCAGTTCTATTTTCCCCTTGAAGGTTAGTTATGTTGTGGCGTTTGGTGAAGGTGTCGTGGAGATCAATTGGTTGTAGCTGGTGATGTTTTGGTAGGTGATCGGATTTTCTTGTCGGAGTCGGGAAGAAGTGGGTATCTGTGTGGCGAAGAGCTTGGTTGTTGGGAAAGCTGCTCTGGTCACCTTGAGTAGATCTAGCATCTGCTCGTGTATCCTTGGTCCACTTTCCTCCCTGTTGTTGAGCAGGACCCATGTAGTTCTGGAGGATCTGTTTGATGTGGCTGATCTTGGCTCCAAAATAGCTATGGATCTCCCAGTCCCCGAGGAAGGATACAATCCTAGCCAGGTTAGAGGATCAAATAACCAGGGTCTTCGCCATGACTGGTGGTATGTACCATAAATCCTTCTCGTCTTTACCTTTGTAGCCGTGAGGTCTCTTTAGGGATAGGTTGAGTGATCGCCTACATCTGGTGGAAGATCTGGTGGCGATTCTAGGGTTAGGAATGATGGGCGATCTAGGGGACAGACAGTCGACAAGCGCGTTCAGTGGCGATATAGATCCCGAGGAAGTAGGTGAGCCAGATACAACCCGGGGCGAACTGGTTGATCTTGCTGCACGCTTCGAGGGAGTGTTAATGCAAGTGCCTTCTCCAGGGGATAATTTTCTCTTGTTGGGTGTGTTTCGTTTTGGTGTGTCCCGGAGAAGGTTGTGTGTAATGTGCATTGGTGATGGGGGAGGGGGCGTGACAGTTTTAGAGACCGTGGAGAGTTGGCGATGGAACTCTGCTTTCACACTATCCTGAAGTCGCTTGCCGTAGGATTTCTTGGCCCATGCTAGGGCGTGGTTAGAGTACTCTTGTACAGCATCTTTGGTAAAGTGACGTGACTTAAAGTACTTCAGTTTTTCCGCTAGCATGACTCGGTAGTGTGTTGGCAGGGATGAGGCGACGTCCTTGGCCCAGTTCAGGTGCAATGCCTCAATTGTAGTGGCTATGCTAGGTGTTTTCATTGCCGGCTTGACGAACTTGTTCAGATCTTGGATCTTCCAGGCAAAACTTCTGGTGGGTGTTCCATTCTCTTGGCTCTCCATAATGGTCAAATGGTGGAGGCTCTGGAGGACCTGGAAGAAGGCCTTGATGACACCTGAATTCTATGAGGGTTGTTGGCGCTCCTTTCTTAGACGTTGGTTTGGTTGGCACTCCTTTGGTAGGCGTTGGTTTGGTTGGCGCTCCTTTGGTAGACGTTGGTTTGGTTAGCACTCCTTTAATAGGCGTTGTTTTGGTTGGCGCTCCTTTGGTAGACGTTGGTTTGGTTGGCGTTCATTTGGTAGACGTATTGCTTGTCACATTGTCTGCATGAAATTAGGTAAATTATATTTGAACTACTGCATGAAAGTTGGTCTAATATTGGGAATTGTGTGCCAGATGTTTTGTTATTAAAATGGTCGGATATTTTAAAGATTTTGCATGTTTGACATCTTGGATGGCCACAAGTTTTGGTTGTAACTGCTGATTGTATATTATTTGTTTCTTTAGCGGCAAGTTCAGCTAGAGTGTTTCTTCAGAAACAAAAATACCAGAATACCAGAAGTACCATCCAAGGAAGACCTTCAGCGCCACCAACACCAAAAACAGTGAAACCACTTTTGTAAATTAATCTAATATATTGTATGTATTTTTAATAAAACTAGGAAATATCGCGAACTAACTTTTCATCATCCTAGGTCAGTGCTTATGTAGAGACTTAACCTCTCCCTCAAATTCTTAAACCTAACCCAGACACACAGAGGACCAGGCTCCCGGTTACCTATTTAGGGTGCTAGTCTCCGGGTTATCTATTTAGGGTATTTTCCGGTATTTAGCGTGCTTTCCGGTACTTAGTGTTTTTCCGGTGTTTTCCGGTATTCAGTATAAAATGGTGTTTTCCGGTGTTTTCCGTTTTTTTCCGATATATAGTATTGCCGATTATAGAGTCTTACACTTAACGAAAATTGGTACATGCATTCGAAATCTGTTTCATAACAGATCATAATCCAATAACAATGTCTGTCTGAACCAATGGTGTAGCCATGGGTATCATTGCAATAACAGTTGTACATCTAAACACTTCCTTGTGTCACTTTGTACATTTACACTGTTTCTGTTTCAAATGTAAATATGTTATACCTATAGTAAACCCACAATCTGCTTAAGCAAACTTCCCATTATTCGTTATTCTACTTCCCTTATTTTATTCCTTTATTTCTTTATATGTCATTATTACAATCTTGTTACGCAGTGGAGATGTCGAGGAAAATCCGGGACCAAATGGCAACATATCTCTCGCGCATCTGAATGTAAGAAGCTTACGCCATAAACTTGACACTATTTCCACAGAATTCTCTGAAAATTCGATCTGATCTTGTTAACTGAGACATGGCTTGACAAAAGCATATCATCGGACACCCTTTCTATCCCTGGTTTCAATGCACCAATTCGCAAAGACATGACTACAGGGCAGGGTCGGGGAGTAGCAGTGTATTCTCGTAACAATCTTTTAATAAAACGCAGGTCTGATTTAGAAACCGACAATACAGGGGGCATTTGGGTAGAAATTAATATTCATAATAAATATTTTTTAATTGTCACCTTTTATAGACCCCCCAAATTCCACTGTTCAATTAGATAATTCTATTTTCAATTCAAGACAACATAAACAGTATCTTTATATTAAGTGATTTTAACATTGATCTCTTTACAAAATCCAAAACTTTTATTCATTCGGCAAATGTTCTTTTCGATTTTAAACAAATTATCAAGGATCCAACCAGATATGGTAATAATGGTAACAATAAATTGATTGATCTAATTTTAACGAATTCTTCCGGTTATATTTTTGATTCAGGTTGCTTAGATAATTCCTGTAGTGATCACTGCCCTGTGTACTGTCGGTTAAATTTTCATCGCCTGAAATCAATTAGCTTTACACGTACTATATGGAATTATAATAAGACTGACTTTGACCAACTACGACGTGACGCTGGGAATATCTTATCGGACTCCACTATTGATAACAATTCTATTGATATTACATGTGCCGCCTTCACAAGCGAGTTAATAAATTTGGCAAGAACACATATCCAAAAAAACACTGCAACCATTAGATCAAAAGACAAACTTTGGATGAACAACACTATTCGGAAAATGAGTAAAAAGAAAAACAAAATTCACCGGAAAGCAGTAAAATCAAACTTGGACCTGGACTGGCAAAAATTTAGAAATATAAGGAATGACTATATTAGCTTGATTAGAAAATGCAAAAAAGAATATTATGAAAGATTAGACCATAAATTAAATGATAATCAAAATTTTGGCATAAAGGATTGGTGGCATATAGTCAACTCGTTTGTGAAGGGTCAAAAATCAGAAAAGGGAGATATTCCGCCTCTTATGAATAATGGGGTTTCATATTTTAATCCGAAGGACAAAGCAAATTGTTTAAACGAATACTTTATTAACCAATCACAGCTTGACTACACAAATGCACAACTTCCTGAACTCGAACAAAATCCCTCTTCACTTTGTCACCTAAAATTAACTCCTAAAGAGACTGAAGACATGATTTCCATTATTGATACTTCAAAAGCTACAGGCCCAGATAACATTAGCGGCACATTCCTAAAATCCATCCCCCTCGAAATTAGCAAACCTTTATGTAACATCTTTAATCTTTCACTTGGGCTAAAAACCGTTCCATATATTTGGAAATCAGAAAACATAACAGCAATTCATAAAAAAGGCGACCCATCACTATGCGGAAATTACAGACCAGTTTCTTTATTAAGCATTATAATCAACATTTTCGAAAAATGCATCTACAAACATGTATTTAACTTCATTAGGGATCACAATATTATTACTAATTTGCAAAGTGGTTTTTTTTGCAAGGAGACTCAACTACTTACCAACTAATATATCTTACGCACTTCTGCTGTCAAGCCATCGACCAAGGCCAATATACGAGAACGGTGTTCTGTAACATCAGTAAATCTTTTGACAGAGTTTGGCATGCCGTACTCTACCATAAGCTTCGGGCCGTTGGGATCAGAGGAGACTTGTTAGAATGGTTCAGAGACTACTTGTCTAGCAGACAACAGAAGGTTATTGTCAACGGAACCTCCTCTGAGCCATTAACGGTCCCTTCTGGTGTTCCACAGGGCTCCGCTCTCGGTCCATTACTTTTCATTATATACATCAACGATATAGTAAACAGTATAAAATCAAATATTAGATTATTTACTGATGACACTAGTTTATATATAAAAATAACTGACCTAACCGAATGTGCGGTTAGTAAACAGTATAAAATCAAATATTAGATTATTTACTGATCACACTAGTATATATATAAAAATAACTGACCTAACCGAATGTGTGGAAGTCTTAAATGGTGATCTACAGAGAATAAGCATTTGGGCTAAGACGTGGCTTGTATCTTTTAACCCGCTGAAAACTGAATCCCTAGCACTAGCAAATAAAAATAATTTTTTTCTTCCGACACTAAATCTAGAAATGTTGCAATTAAAGAAGTTTCTGAGCACAATCATCTGGGGCTGACTTTCCAAACAAACTGTAAGTGGGATACTCATATAAATAAGATTTAAACTTGTAAATTTTTCCTCGCTCGTTAAAATATAAGTTAAGTCGCAGATCTCTCCAAACCATGTATACATCATATATTCTTCCTCACTTCGACTACTGTGACGTTATTTGGGATGGGAGTACCACCGAACTAACACATAAACTATAATTTTTGCAACTAGATGCACTCGGGACTATATGCGGTGCTGTGAAAGGTACAAGTCACCAAGTGTTGGCAGTGTGAAGTTAGCTCGATTTTCGTTTTTCGTTTTTCGATATTGGTGAATAACGAAAAACGAGCTACATGTTATTCGATATTGGCGAATAACGGAAAAAAGCTAGATGGTTTTTCGATCGTGTTTCGATATTCAAACTTGAATCTCAAAAAAGTAGATTTAATGGATGTACATCGACAGAATGTCTCCAAAACACATTTGATTAAATCAGTTTTGTTAAACGAACTAAATATATCGTAATAGATGATGCCTGAGCAGTGTATTCACATCAAATCTGCTCTTTCTCCTTGTTTTTTTATATTGGCGAATCTCGAAAAAGGAGCTACTCGTTTTTCAATATTCAGACTTGAATGTCAAAAATACAAATTTTAATCATGTATATCTACAGAATGTCTCCAAAACACATTTGATTATATAAGTATTCTAAAACGAACTAAAAATATCATAAATTAGGATGCCTGAGCAGTGGATTCACATAAAACTGCTCTTTCTCCTTGTTTTTTGATATTGGCGAATCTCGAAAAACGAGCTACTCGTTTTTCGATATTCAAACTTGAATCTCAAAAAAGCAGATTTGATGGTTGTATATCTACAGAATTTCTCCAAAACACATTTGATTAAGTACGTTTTCTAAAACGAACTAAAGATATCATAAATGAGGATGCCTGAGCAGTGGATTCACATTAAACTGATATTTCTTCTTGTTTTTTTTTTTGATATTGGCGAATCTCGAAAAACGAGCTACTCGTTTTTCGATATTCAAACTTGAATCTCAAAAAAGTAGATTTAATGGATGTACATCGACAGAATGTCTCCAAAACACATTTGATTAAATCACATAATGGATTCACATAAAACTGATATTTCTGCTTGTTTTTTAATATTGGCGAATCTCGAAAAACGAGCTACTCGTTTTTCGATATTTAAACTTGAATTTCAAAAAAGTAGATTTAATGGATGTACATCGACAGAATGTCTCTAAACACATTTGATTAAATCAGTTTTGTAAAACGAACTAAATATATCGTAATAGAGGATGCCTGAGCAGTGTATTCACATAAAAACTGCTCTTTCTCCTTGTTTTTTGATATTGGCGAATCTCGAAAAACGAGCTACTCGTTTTTCGATATTCAAACTAGAATCACAAAAAAGTAGATTTAATGGATGTACATCGACAGAATGTCTCTAAAACACATTTGATTAAATCAGTTTTGTAAAACGAACTAAATATATCGTAATAGATGATGCCTGAGCAGTGTATTCTCATAAAAACTGCTCTTTCTCCTAGTTTTTTGATATTGGCGAATCTCGAAAAACGAGCTACTCGTTTTTCGATATTCAAACTTGAATCTCAAAACTGCAGATTTGATGGTTGTATATCTACAGAATTTCTCCAAAACACATTTGATTAAATACGTTTTCTAAAACGAACTAAAGATATCATAAATGAGGATGCCTGAGCAGTGGATTCACATAAAACTGATATTTCTCCTTGTTTTTTTTGATATTGGCGAATCTCGAAAAAAAAAGCAGATTTGAAGGATGTATATCTACAGAATGTTTCCAAAACAGATTTGATTAAATACTTTTTCTAAAACGAACTAAAGATATCATTAATGAGGATGCCTGAGCAGTGGATTCACATAAAACTGATATTTCTCCTTGTTTTTTGATATTGGCGAATCTCGAAAAACGAGCTACTTGTTTTTCGATATTCAAACTTGAATCTCAAAACAGCAGATTTGATGGTTGTATATCTACAGAATTTCTCCAAAACACATTTGATTA